GCTGACACACACACACACACACACACACACACACACACACACACACACACACACACACACACACACACACACACACACACACACACACACACACACACACACCACACCACCACACACACACACACACACACTGTCCAGTACACGGATAACATAGCGTTCATTGGGGTGTGAAGGCCTGGCCCTAGACGTGCAGACGGAGAAACCTCCCTCCCGACTTTCCCTGCAGAGGCCACCCAGAAAGTGCAGTTGATATGGAGGGACAGTAAGGCCGAGCGGGAGATGGCGTTACATGGCAAGGAATGCTGGTGGGTTGGCTTGGGCTCGGTGCAGTTGTTGGAGATCAAGGCGCTGTTAGTAACAATCTAGGTGAAGACAAGTGACGTAACATTTGGCTATTTGGCTTCGTGTTTGAATATTCTGAAACAGAAAGATTTTCTTATTTCCCAATCCATATTGTTTGATTGTTATCTAAAGACTTACAAAAGGCATTCGTACCTCGATAACGGAAATGCTCACGGACAGTAACGAAGATAAACTAAACATAACATCAAACTGAATGCACACATGCGAAGCCCACTGCATAGTTCAACTAGTATATTACTACATAAATATTATAGTACTTAAAACAAATGCGTACACAATTTCTAGCAACATCCCACCACTTCTTCCTTTTCCCGGACACAACCACATCGCGAGGCTTGGGGTGAATGCCATTACATTTCAAACCCGAAAGCCTTCTCTGCGAAAGGCGTCGCTGATTTATCTTTTGTTCGTACCCTAGTAAGCTTTCCTTCCCGCACTCTGGTGTACTGTCTCGCCAGCGAAGGTCCGATTTCAACACTTGGATGCTTCACGTGATGCTTCAGCGTAAGTAGCCCTTGTTTGAAAATATAATTGCAAAGTAAATGAGGAAAATTATTGACAGTGCTAACAGGTGCTCTGCACAAGGGACAGTTATTATCCCTTTGTATCATGTGGCGGGAAGCAATTTTAGTCCAAATTAGTCCATGAAATTAAATGAAAAGAAAAAATATTTTTTCTTAAAGTAGAAAATGAAAAAGGCAACTCAGCTGTAATTTGCACAAGGGACCGCTTCCTCCACCTGGTCGTAGGAAATATCCTTCGCACCTCGTGGCTGTGCTTAGTGCCTCCCTGCGGCGTCGCAAAAGGCAGGTCGGGGTCGCTTAGCGCCCCACACTCGAGACCAAGACCGAATCTCCCAGCAACCGCTGTTAGTGGCTCGTGTAGGTTGTTAGACAGTAACTATACTATCATCCCTAAGAACGTAACAGACTTTGCATAAGAGCAAAGTAAATGGCCAGTTCATGCAAGCGAATGGACCGATTATGGGAGTGTTACGTTACAATGTGTCGCTCATCCTAGTAAGCGGGGCAGCGCGGTGGTTGGCAGGGTCAGCGTGCACAGAGGCCGCAGCCGTACACGGGCAGGACCAAAATGATTGTCAGGAATTGATAGACAACAATGATACTTGCTCTAAAGGGAGTCATACCCTTCAATGCATGCAATATGCAAACGAGCATACGTATGTCGTACACGATGTATATTTACGCAAATCGAGATATATTCATGGCAAAAGAGAAAAAAGTATGAAGCCCCTTATTTCAGGATACGAATATGGGGCTCAAAAATAAAAGAATAAATAAGAGAATACTAAAGTACACGGATATGGGAGCGAGGGTCCTGTGTCCCCCGGGTGGTGTATGACTTGGTATCTCTCGGGATCGGCCGCTCATCGCCCAATTAGAGTCAGTCAGAGCCGATAGCGGAGTCAGGCTGATGTCCACGCTCTTTTGGGACCAGACCGGCTGATAGAGCGACGGCGATAGAGGCGAGCCTCGCGTGAAACACCTGGCGGAACCGAGTCCCCGAGCGTACCCGTGCGTGCCTTCGCCTGCCCAAACAGTGCCTGTGGTGGCCGCCTTCCTGCCCAACGAGGAGGTCAGGAAGGTCATCAGAAGCTATCGGGGGAGATAAAGGGTTTGATTTACAGCTGGAGAATTATCTCACGAACCATGCTGGGGAATATCAGTCAGGCTTATGACTTCAATTCAGTAGATTAGCGCCTCATTATTGAGTCCGGAACATGTTGATGAGCTTTGGCCGAGTCAATCAGGATCGGCGATCAGGTGTGCGACTCTAAAAGGATTTATTTCATCCTGCCGATACAAGGGGCAGGTTGTAGTAGTGGGGGTGAGGGGGAGGAGGAGGAGGAGGAAGGAAGGAGAAGGGAGAAGAAGAAGAAGAAGAAGAGAAGAAGAAGAAGAAGAAGAAGAAGAAGAAGAAGAAGAAGAAGAAGAAGAAGAAGAAGAAGAAAGGAAGAAAAGAAAGAGAAGAAGAGAGAAGAAAGAGGAGGAGAAGAAGAAGAAGAGAGAAGGGAGAAGGAAGAAGAAAGAGGAAGAGGAAGAAGAGGAAAAGAAAAGAAAAAGAAGAAGAAGAAAAAGAAGAAGAAAAGAAAAGAAAAGAAAAAAAGAAAAGAAAAAGAAAAAAGAAAAAAAAGAAGAGAAGAAGAAGAAGAAGAAGAAGAAGAAGAAGAGAAGAAAGAAGAAGAAGAAGAAGAAGAAGAAGAAGAAGAAGAAGAAGAGGCGGCGGCGGCGGCGTCTAACAACTTCTTTGCTGTGGTGTAACTTTTGACATATCTTCAGATGTTTGTTTTAGTCATGGGATGTACAAAAGCTGTTTCAGTGAGCATATAAATCCTGTTGCTTTCGGTGACAATTCGTTGAAAACAGATTTGTAATGGGAATATTAACACGCCACGAATCGACGTTGTCGTGGTGACGCGGCGGTCGATTTGATTGCATGTAAATAAAGGATTGCGTTTGCATATGTGTCCAGGTAAATCACACGCACTCTCTTTCTTTCTTTCTCTCTTTTTCCTCTCTCTCTCTCTCTCTCTCTCTCTCTCTCTCTCTCTCTCTCTCTCTCTCTCTCTCTCTCTCTCTCTCTCTCTCTCTCTCTCTCTCTCACACACACACACACACACACACACACACACACACACACACACACACACACACACACACACACACACACACACACACACAAGCAGACACATATCAATTCATGCATATATGCATGCATATGAATACATAAACCAAGCAGCCCATTCAATCTGACGTTAGTCGTCTTTCTCAACAGCTACATTAGCACACGGAGTCAAAGGTTAATTTCCCTTCGGCACATCCTAGCGCGCCGAGCAAGCCGTCCCCCGATGTACCTTCATTCCATATCCTTCTAGGAGTATCCTACACTTCCCCACACTCCTTCTCGCTCTCCCATAACCTCTTCGCACCCTGAGATAACACAGTTTGCCTCTCAGACAAATGTATCGTTCAGGGTTGTGTTATAGCGGACTCGGGTGTAATAAATTTGATAGTTGCGGACGTTTAGTGTCGGTTTACAGGCAGCAGTTGTACGAGCTCTTGGCCTCCTCCGAATGAATCCTCCTATTGCCCGGGTGTTGTATTATTTGTCTCTTTCCTAATTTGTTCGATTCGATGAAGATAAAGCTGGAGATTACGACATCTCGACTTTTTTGTATTTTATAAAGACTGAAAGTGACTATAAGTTAAAAGAAAGAAAGGATGGTTGTGGTATTTTCTTGTTCTGGTTCTGAATCGGCCTGTTGGTATCTTATCTCCCCGTGTAGCTGCTTCTGCCGTGTCACCTCTACAATGGCGGTCAGTTTTGTCTCGTTCAAATTCGCCGAGTCTAACCCCCATTATGTGATGCAGAGATACCGCACCTTGAAAAACAGGAATTCGGAATTTCTCTCATTTTTTCCGTAACGCTTAGGAAAAATAAACAAATTCGTCAGCAATGTTCTCTTTCGATACTCAATTAAGTATTCTACTTTTATTTCATTAGCGTCAAGCCACTTTCTCAGGCCCTTTTACTGTCTCGTTATCTAAATATCCCTTCACCAGTCCACTAAGTCTCTCGTAGTTCTCTTGCGATCCAATAACCTTCCTCGCCCCTAATACTGCTTCACGTACTAGGGTATAGATTCCTAAACTGGGGAGTTTTAAGGATTATGCAACGTGTTCCTAATGTTATTAAATTCCTTTATATTTGACGAATTTATCTTGTTTTACGATCCTTGCCATTTTTGCAAGATGCAACATTAATGATTTCCGTGTTGCGTATGACCCATTATTGTATTTTTAACATTCTAGACTGAAATACGAGCAAAAATATAAGGGATATAAGGTTGGTAAAAATAACTTCAAAGGGTACATCACTGCCTAAAGTTCGAAATCACTTTACTAAGATCAAAACTCTTCACAGATATCCTCCTTTCTTTCCTCTAACATTAAGAAAAATACGCAGATGTTATGATTGGCCCCTAAAAGATGGCCCAACCTTTACCCATGCTCATGTTCCTAATGCAGTCCCTTACAACGGCATAATAAGTGGTACTTTGAGTACGGAGTCACCGCAGAGACAAGCTGCTGCTCTGAGGGACTTGGTAGAGCTGGTGAAATATAGAATCGTATATATGTGGAAGGGGAAGGAGTAAGAGAAATGGAAGGGAAGTGGACGAAGGAATAAGGTTAAGGTGGATATCACATGGAAGCAGAGATTGCGAGGAGGAAACAGGAAGCATTAAGAACGAAGGAGATATGGAAGTGCGCGATGTAATTTAGTCAAAGGGAACAAAAGAGAGGATGAAAAAACAACAACATAAAAATGCAGAGAAAGGGTGATGGGGTGATCTGGTGGCGGGAGGGGGTTAGGGTGGATAATTACCGATAACGCAAACTACGTATTTCCGCAATTACGTTCTATTAAGTAGAGTACATCATCTTGCACGGCGCAGTTCCAGCTTTTTATCAAAATGCTGTTGCATATGCTATTGTAGAATTTTATTCAAGAGATTACATAGCGAAAACACTATTATCCTACAATAACCTCAAGTTGTAGGTATATTTTCTAATAACGATTACAGATTGATACTAAAACTTCCCTTCCTCCCACAGGGGACAGTTCGCCGTGGTGTACCACTGTCGACACAGAATCACCGGGGAAGAGTTTGCCGCCAAGTTTTCGTCCAGATGGCGCCTCGGAGCCGACTGCACCTCAGATATTGTCCATGAGATTGCCATCTGCGTAATGTTGAGGCCTACACCGAGGGCTGTACAACTACAAGATGTTTTCAAGACTGACGCAGAATTTGTCCTTGTCATGGAATAGTAAGTACATGTAGTATTCTTTTCCTTTTGGTTTGATTGCTTCGTTTAGATCTCGACTAGCAATATATTATTTTCTGTAAGTATTTGATAACATAATGATAAGCAAACCTTATATTAATAATTTTATGAACACGTATATATCAAAGTGCAAGATCAGCTACCTTTAGAAGTTTAAGGAAGCCCAGCTCCTTACTCCAAAGTCCGAATTCCTCTTACCACGCGAAGGAGGCAAGCCACCGTATCCTTCGCTATCCTCCGTGGGACGCTATCCCCCTCCTTTCACGCCGAGAAAACCCTAGACTCCGAGGCTGTTGCGCCCCTCTCCTTGCTCTTGGGTTACCAGTCTCCCCGGGAAAGAAACGGTAAAGGTCGAGGATCCACCCATTGACCGGTGGGGCAACGTAACCCAACTCTTTTGTTTATGATTGCGTCTCCATGCTGTTACCAGGGAGTGTTTACTGTGTATTTACGATTCTGTGGATATGTATTTAGATTTTTTTATTCTTTATCTCTCTCGGTGAATGGCTTAATTTCGTTTAGCAGGTACTCTAATTATAATAGGATTATGTACGCTGATACTTTCCTTTCTCGAACTTTCACCTCTGACTTAAGATTTATAAACAGTAGCAAAAAGTGAGCCAGCGAACAGCGATCCCCTGCAGATGCTATATGAGCTATATTTAAGGCAAACAGTACACGAAAAGAAACTTCAGATCAGATAAGAGTTGACAACACGTCCACTTAAGTGCTAGCGAGGACGTGGAAATCTGTTATTAAATGATCGTCATCAGTTAAGTTAGTCTAGGCATCTTCTCTTCACATTACTTTATTTAGCGTTCAGGCCCTTGGGCTCTCTCTCTCTCTCTCTCTCTCTCTCTCTCTCTCTCTCTCTCTCTCTCTCTCTCTCTCTCTCTCTCTCTCTCTCTCTCTCTCTCTCTCTCTCTCTCTCTCCTCTCTCTCTCCCTCCTCTCTCCTCTCTCCCTCCTCTCCCTCCCTCTCTCTCCCCCTCCTCCCTTCCTCCCTCCCTCCCTCCCTCCCTCCCTCCCTCCCTTCCCTCCCTCCCTTCCTCTCTCCCTCTCTCTCTCTCTCTCTCTCTCTCTGTCTTTCTCGCGCTTTCGGAGAATTGGGTAATTTTACAAGTATGAAAGCAGACATGTTTTAACACACACACACACACACACACACACACACACACACACACACACACACACACACACACACACACACACACACACACACACACACACACACACACACACACACACACACACACACACACACACACACACACACACACACACACACACACACACACACACACACACACACACACACACACCACACACACACACACACACACACACACAGGCTTTCCCGGCGAGGCAGTCATTCTCCGGGTGAGTTCTCCTCCCGTCGCCTTCCCGGCGGAGCGGATCGCGTGCGTGGCGGAGGCAGGTGGGAGTCGCTCGATAAAAAGTTGATAAACACACAATCACGTTCGCCTGCCACAAAACCCTATTTTTACGAATGCATTGTTAGGGCGTTTGGGCAAAAAAAGGTGAGTGTTGAAAATTTCATGTCTTGTATTTGATTCTATTACTGGTATTTTGCGATATTCCCGCGCAAATGGTGGTTATTTTTTCTGAAGGGGATACGGGTGTAGCAAATTTGTCTGTGCGAGGATAATCTCCCCGGAGGAAAAGACTGGCCTCTCTGCTTTACCCGGGGATTATCTTATCCATAATTTTCCTGTGACCTTTTCCAGGTACCTGACCTATCCAATGCGTGCTTATTAA